CTATTTTTTTTTAAACGTTGAACAACAATAATCAGTGTCCGCAAGTGATCTTTGGGTTTAAAGGGGTTAAATTTTCATTACATGGAACAATAAAAATAGTATTTGTAAAATTATAGTCGGTTTGCTCCTCCGCCATTGATGCATGCTGTGAGAAATGCTGCAAGTTTAGTGCAGTGGTGCGGAACGCTGAAAAAAAAACTAAGCCGACCAAAAAAACAGCTCAACATTGCCTGACGGCCGACTGTCGGCTTGGTGTGCCCCGCCCTTAAAGGTTAAAAAAATCCCTGGTCTAGACGACTATGAAATGTGATTGAGAGTAGGAAAGCGCAAGCTTAATACTTTCAGATTTGAGCTTGTTAGCACACAGGATGCTGGTTTGCTGCCCCACTAGGGATCTAAGAATTGATGTTACGTCGATCACTATTTTGCCCTTGAGCATGACACTTTACCCTGGTTACACTGGGACTGTCTCCTCAATTAGTCTACTGTAAGCCACTTTGTATGAAACTTTCCACTAAATGACACCACTAACTAATAAAAATCAGGTTCGCAGTACCTTAAGGGGAGTGATAGCTACAATTACCTAAGGAAACTTGGCTTCATGGTTTATTAATGTCATAACCTGTGCAGAGTTGATCTAATTGGCCTGTTGTCAGGCTCGGAGGGTTCAGCACTAAGCAGACAGGTCGATCCGTGACCCAGGGCGTGCTCTAGGATGTTTACCTTCGCTCCTGTGATTCCTGACAGAAGATGCCACCAGGTAATTGTAGCTTCTGCTGTGAGATCATGACTTGGCTGCTTAATGTGAAACTTTCTTTGTTTGATTGTTGCTGCGAGCCATATTCATGTGTAAAGATTTGTTTGGATAATGCAGGTTTCAAAGAGCAGGCTTGATCCTGAATGAGCATTGAATTATCTGACACTTATCTTTTGTCGTCTATGAGATATTTCAACGCTTTCTCATCCCAAGGCGTCTCATACTGATGCTTTTGCCAACGCGTATACATGCAATGCACATGGCACCCTTTAGTGTCAATATAACACGCTTCGGTTATGGGTAGGTTTAGGTCTGAGGCAGGGTTAGGGTTAGACCACTAGGAGATGCCTTCTGCCCCATATATATCTACGTCTCATATTGACACTAAAGGGTGCCCTCTGCATTGGATGTATATGCATTGGCAAAAGCGTCAGTATATAACGCCTTGGGATGAGAACGGACTGGATTTTTATAGGGCTGGGCAAAAAAAAATAGATTTTTTGATTAATTGAAAAATCTGAAAATGGATTTTTCAATATTCAGGGCTTGTGGTGCAGCGTCTTCTCTCTCTCTGCACAAGGCAAGCAAAAGTAACAAAAGTTCTTTTTCATAACATAATTTTCGTGTTTTAAAAAACGCAAAATTATATCAAAACTCTGGTCTTGGTGAGTAACCTCGTAAAGACAGTCGGTTATGTCTTAAGCATAAAACGCTTGTGACAGACAGTATATTGAAACAGTAAGGGATCAGTGTCCTAGATCTTAAAGTGAACATAGCCATATGTATCTGTCATTAATTTTGTTGTCAGAACAACATAATATAGCATTAATTGTAAGGAATCAGAATTAATAGTATCTGTAGTTTCTGTAGTATTTCTGAACTACCCCCCCAAAAAATGTGTTTTTATGTCTCTTTATTTGTGTCTTTATTCAATTGTATTTATTTGTGCTACTTTTTTTTTTCAATTTAATTCAAAGATTGAAATCAAGCTTCCATGTGTTGCATAAACTCTTAACAAAAAAATGACCCCATTGTAAAAACAAACATTTAGGTGAGATCAATGTAATAAAAATTATCTAAAAAATGATAACTGATATGTATTTATCTATCTTAAACATAAAATAACCTGATCCTGTTTGATCAAGGCGTGTGACTGTTCTGACTTGTCCAATTTTCAGCATCAATTCTGCATCTTGCATCAAAATCCTGTCTATTCGTTGTGTGCGTTTAATTTTAGTGTAGTGAACCTAAAATAGAAAGTTTATATACTGTCCACTTTTCTTTTTATGTCCACAGTTCTTTTTTATAAATATAAGATTTGTATTACATCTATTTTCATTAAAGTCGAATCAATAATCAAATTAGGAATCGAAATAGAAAATCAAATCGAGAATCAAAATTGAATCGTATTGAGAGCTTGTGAATTGAAAGCGAATCGAATTTGAACATATGAATCGATAACCAGCCCTAGATTTTTAGTTTTATTATTTTATATTATCGGGAAGGGAGTAACGGGATGAACTATGCAGAACACATTTAAAATCCAGGTTTTTAAGGAAACTTGCCCAGACAAGATGGTTCTGTAGAGAGAAATGAAAACCTGAAAAATAACGATTTTCTTTTGTCTCTCTTTTTTTCTTTCTTTCTTCTAAACACAAACAGCCAGAATCTCTTGTACAATCCCAAATATGTTGTGTGGGGTTGATATTTTGCCTGGGATTTGTTGAAGATTTATCTATTGGGTGGAAATGAAGCAAAAAAGTCAATGTTTGCTTTCCTCAATTTACAAAAAGCAGTCACCATGGTGATAAAGGGAAAACCATAAAGGAATGACAGGATAGTAAAGAAAGAGAACAAGGGATGGGCGGAGAGTCTTTCACTGGAAGCAGCTGTATCTCTTGTATGTGATGATTAAGACCTCCGTCTCCTGCGGAGGGGACAGTCAGGGCAGCAGCCCACAGGCCCAATGCACCATGGGTAGGGTAAGGAGGGCTGATTCTGTGGTGTAATGACATGCTGCTGCTGACCGTGGCCGTCTCCCACTGGCAATGTTTGTGTCCTGACTACAAGAATATAACAATATTATTATTATTATTAAATAATATATGTATGAAACAGAGTGTACAAGAGATTAAGCACAAAACACACACACACAAACACACACACACACACACACACACACACACACACACACACTCGCAGAGAGAGAGCGAGAGCAAGAGAGCTACAAGCTGCACGCCTTGAGACAATGCGTAAATATTAGAATACGTAACATTTTTTTGAAATGTTTATTTCCATGTGAATATTTAACATTTTTATTGAAATGTTTATTTTTATGTAAAAAAGAAAAAGAAATAAAAAACAAACAAAACTACTTTTTTATGTACTTATTTGTTTTTATAATTATTTACTTATTTGTATTGTATAGTGTTATGAATGCTTGAGCAATGTAAAGATTTTTTTTCACTATGCCAAGATAGAGATAGATAGAGACAGAAATAGAGATCGAGATAGAAAGATAGCCGAGATCTAACATAATAGAAGCTGAACACAAACCTCACCACCCAACATACACTAGAGGCGAAACGTCTCCTGTAAATAACCAGACTCTGCTGGTCATTTCTAATACATTTGAAATGTAAGTATTGCATCCAATTGAATTGTGAGTAGTATGGATGTATAGGTAATTACGGTAATTGTCCTGTGTGGCTAAATGGCAGCCCTGAAGAGTTCAATAACTAAGGGTGCTTTCACACTAGCACATTTGGTACACACCTGGGTTTGATCGACGCTTGAGTTTGGTTTGTTTGGATTATGTGAACGCAATTGAACTCTGGTTCATACCAGATAATAAACCAAGTCGAAAGCACACTTAAAGAAAGATGGAAATTTAAATCTTGACTGTACTTGATGTAAAATGTGTAACGGTTTATCCTGCTGTTGCAGTCCCCTCCCCCTAAACTACTTCATTCATATTGATTTGCTTTACTAACCTAAACAAACCTTCAAGAGCAATCCTAGACAATAATAATCTATTTTGAATCTACTATTTACATTTCTCTTGTTTTTGAATGCATTTGTGATGTGTGTGATGCTGCATGGTTTTACTAGTTTGACTTCTGTTCTGTTCCTATAAGCCTTAATGCATGTGAAATATCCTAAAGTGCTTCTTTGTAATTGACCTTGAGCTTGAAATATCACTTTCATTGTGAAATGAATTAAATGAATCTAACCATGCACCACTACTGCTGACACTTGAACCAAAACTTTGCAAATGAGTATTCAATACCAGTATGTCACCCACCCACTGTGTGCAAGATTACTTGGAAAAATGTCTAAATATGTGGAAGCAAGCAAAGGCATGCATGTTCAGAGAAAAAAAAAAAATCTTAAAGATAAGTCACACATAATTATTTTCCTCATTAACATGCAGTGTCTTCAAGAACCTCAAACAATGACAAAAATAGAAGAAAACAAATTATTATTGTCTCTGTTAGATCTTTGTGTCACTGGATTTATATGACATTGGGAGCTGTCTCTGGAGGTTTACATAATTTTTCTTGTTTTTTTTCCCTGTGTTGTCATTCCTCCTCCTCTTCCTCCTTATCTTCCTTATTCTCCTTCCCTTTTTCCTTTCTTTTCCTTTTCCTTTTCCTCCCTTTCCTCTTCTCCTTTTCCTTCTACTACTACTTCTACTATTTCTCCTTCTCCTCATTTTCTTTTTTCTTTATTTCCACATTTGTTCATTTGTAGAATAAGAATGTTCACTAATGTTAATTTTGCAATGTGCAATATTAATTGTTTTAGTACAAGTTTTGCCAACTAATTGTAGTAATTGCCGTTTTGTTGAGTCAGTAATTGAACAGGCAGAACAACTTGTGCAGTTTTGTTTGTTAATTCTAGGAGCTCCTAATCTCAAATTTGGCAAGCGACTGCCACACTTTTTGGCATGTTTATTTGCTGGCTTCTCCAAAAAATAAAAGCCTTTCAAACTAATAAAAGAAGTTTGAAGAAGATGATCAATATTCAATAGCCTACAAATTATAATAAATCTAATTTTCAGACAAAGTCAGAAAAAAATATTTTCTTTTCATAGCATACGAATCAAGGAATTTGTTTCATTGTGATTTTTTTCAAACCATAGCGCTCCAGTCTACTTAAATTGGGAAAAAAAACAGAAATCTACAGTTTGGCAATGTTTGTGACCATCTAATAGTATTTTCTCTCCATTGTTCTCTGACAGGGTAGTTTGAGGAGCAGCAGTCAAATTTCTCCTCAGGAGTTTCTGAGTGAGCTGAAAGGTGGCGCCACCGATGAAAGACTGTTTGCCTGTCTGGACTCCCTCAGAGTGTCACTCACCAGCAACCCAGTCAGGTACTCACGTAAAGTTTTGTAGCATTTATTTTAATATATAATGTTAGTCAAGTTTACTTGCATCAAAGTTTTCCTCTTTCTCTCTGACATATAATTTAGCAGGATATTTTTGCTGCTGTGTCTGTTGTTGAAACCTGCTCAGGTTGCACAAACACTTTTTCCACTGGAAGGCATTCGTAAAAGCTTTCTTACATCTCAAACTTGACAAGCCAGCTTGATATTGCAGCCTGCTGAATACTCAAACACACACATTGAACTATTCAACCTGACCACCTACCACATCTGACCTCTGACATTTGCCCGAGCGGAGCGCTATGTGATTTCATATTTATTAATATGTATTACTATTACCGATTGCCACGTCGCCCCAGGTTTTCCCTCCTACTTCTTAATTGTTTGATGCCTTTTGCGACGAGCTCTCCTGCTGTTTGCCTGCATTTGTACTGCAAACATGACAGCGAGGCCTCTCCAGGAGGGTGAAGATGATAAACAATTTGTAAATAGTTTTTTGAAAACGCTTTTCTTTTTTTTGCGACCATTAAAACTACTCTATTTTTACAACACAGTTTTAAATGCAGTTCACACAGAGAGACGCAATGCTGGAGGCAATGGTTGGAAGTGTATAGGCAGGAATAGTAATGCTTTCAAGTACACCACACATATTTTTACAGCAGTTAAAAACTCAAAGATTGTTATATTTAAAGGTTATTTTTATATTTGTGATGACCAAAACATTATTTGTTCATCCTTCAAAGATTACTTCCCGTTTTTAAAGCTAAAAGTTTGAAGATGCTAAATTAACTGCACCTTTTTGAACCCGTTACCTGTATACAAGACTCCTGTCCACACACTCAATCAAACAGACTCCTATCTCTCCACAATGGCCAAGACCAGAGAGCTGTGTAAGGATAACAATGGAGATAAAATTGTACACCTGCACAATGCTGGAATGGACTAAAGGACAATAGGCAAGCAGCTTGGCGAGAAGGCAACAACAGATGCCGCAATCATTAGAAAATGGAAGTTCAAGATGACTGTCAATCTCCCTCGATCTGGGGCTCCATGCAAGATCTCACCCCGAGGGACATACATGAACCTGGTGAATGACCTGAAGAGCGCTGGGACCATAGTCTCAAAGTAAACCATTAGTAACACACTGTATTGCCGTATTGGATTAAAATCCTGCAGCACACGCAAGGTCTGAGGATGTAGGCTACAGAACCGACCCGAAACACAACTAAGGAGTGGCTCCGTCAGAAGCATCTCAAGGTCCTGGAATGGCCTAGCCAGTCTCCAGACTTGAACCCAATAGAAAATCTTTGGAGGGAGCTGAAAGTCTGTATTGTCCAGCGACAACCCTGCCAAAATCCCTGCTGCAGTGTGCGCAAACCTGGTCAAGAACTACAGGAAACGTATAAACTGTGTTATTGCAAACAAAGATTTCTCTACCAATATTAAGGTCTGCTTTTCTGATGCATCAAATACTTTTGTCAAGCAATACTATGCAAATTAATTACTTAAAAATCATACAATGTGATTTTCTGGATTTTTGTTTTAGATTGTCACTCACAGTTAAAGAGTACCCATGATAAAAATGACAGACTTCTACATGCTTTTTAAGTGGGAAAACTTGCAACATTTATATATAATTTTTTTATACTTTATTTTGCTTTATTGTGGCTTTTGTAATTTTCAAAGACTGCACTTTTTATTGATCTTAAAAAAAAGTAAGAATACTTTAGCCTACACATTTTAAATAAGTGACTAGGCAATTTTTTGTTTTTTATTAGCTATGGAATGCTTGGGGGACCAGAATCACTTGCTTTCTATTCTGAGCACAGACTCATAAGACATGGTCTAATTCATCTGAGAACATGACCCTAGTAGCACCATGAGTGCGTTGCTTTAGGACACTCATTTTTGTTCAGTGTCCTTTTCATCTGAAACATTTTCCTAATTCCGATAACCAATAGAAAAATCCAATAGATAAGTGGGATAGAGAGCCCAGTGTGTGCGTGCAGATAAAGTTATTACAGGCAGTTAAAGTTAAATTGACAGACTGCACTAAGCAGTGTGTCCAATTTCAAAGACTATGGATGGAAAAATAAACCTCATCTGTAATAGAGAAGAGAGAGAAAGACGAGAGCATGTTCGAGCAGGAGAGTCGGTGTTAAACTGTTTTCATCAGTGCTGCATTGTTTATTGGCATAATTTATGAAATGTCATGATTTCTATTAACACCCCAAACGTCGCTCTGGCACATGCAGCTGTTTGTTAACGTCGCAGGTGGAATTATACACAATCGGAGAGAAATGGCCGACCTTGCGTGAGGAGTCTAGCCTGAACATTACTCACACCTGGCACCTTTTCATTTGTCCCTGCGCAAGGTTAAAACTTCTCCCAACAATTCAATCTTTTTTTAATTTGTATTTTTGGGATTGTCTGACTAGAGTATGACACAAAGGTGTTTTATTCAGCTATGCTGATGAAAGCCTGCTGTGTTTTGTTCTTATAGATCACTGTTGTGTGATGAATAAAACAAGATAAGTGTGAGGAAGCAGAGACTATAGTAAATGTTGATTTATTGCTAAAAAGCAAATTTGCAAATGGTCAACAGTATGGAAATACACTACATTTTGAGAAGGGTTATTTTTTTACATTAAGACTAGATTTAGGTTGGGAGGACCTTGAATATTTCACATTAGGAAGGGAAGAGTAATTCTTCTTACATGACTTATCCATGTAGACTCATTACTGTGATCTTCTATCTCCCCTGCTTTTAAATAAGAAGCCAGAGAGAAGGCCATGACAATTCCCTAATGAAAACGGACATATGGTATTTTATTTTAACTAGGATCCCCACAGGTCCCTCTCTGCAATTCCCCGTTGGAATGTCTGGATGTTGATGTTCACATGCAGTCATGGCTGATATTGGCCCACATTGGAAGTTATTTTGCCATGCATGTCACCACCTTCTTTTATTCTTTTCCTTAGAGGCTGAGAAAACCACTCCATTCTAAGATGCATTGATGCTTCTTGTTATTTTGGACGAGGAATGCACAATAGATTGGTGACCATATTGGCATTGGCCAATGACAATGGTGTTAAAGGGATACTCCACCGTTTTTCATATTAAACTATGCGATACATTGCTGCTGAGCCTTGAAAAGTGAAACTCAGTTAAAAATAATGAACACCTTGTTTCATTACATCTATTTTAATGAATCAGCTTTTTTGAACGTGTTCCTTGAATGAATGGTTTAATGAATCACTCAAAGTCCGTTGTCGTAACAATGTTCGCGCTGAGTGAAAGCCTTTTAATGCGCATGTAGACACTGTTTAGTTTCGGTTACATTGGTTACTGAAAATTTCCTCGGTTTTTGTCCATGCTGCTCACATCGTAAACTTTATTTATATAGCAACAAATACATACAAATGAAATAAATAAATAAATATTGAGCTATTGAGCCACTCAACATTACCGCAAGGGAAATTCCATAACCACGACAGGCAGCTAGCATATCGTTAGGAAAGATTAGATGAATGTGATCATTTTTGTTTGGTCCTAAAATCGCTGATACAACCCTTAATGAGAAATTGAACTGGTGTTCATAATAATCCTTTAGTTGAGTGTATTTTTTCCTTTCTTTCAGATTTGATCAGCTAGCTTACATTATAAACAAAACAAACAAATAGTTTGATGTGAAGGGAATGTTCGAGCGTTCAAGTCAAATTGAGCGTTTAACCTGTGCCCAAATGTACGAGCTGATGTACGAGGTTCTTCATGTCAATAGAATGAGATGTACTCTTGGGAATCCACTCAGACTTGAAGGAAAAAATAAACATCACACATCATGATAATTTTAATAAATAAATAAATTCTATTTAGTTTTCTGCAGCTTGATATCTAGGATTCCTTTTATCAATGGATTAAACATCGATCATAGTGATTTAAGCTGAATGCTTGTGACATGTTGGTAAATGCTCTTTGTTTTATGCATTGTCCTGTTTGCTGTTTTACTTGTAGAGTTGAGACAGTTCTTAGTTTCATTTAAATTACAAATAGACATTCTGTTGAGTTGTCACTGGGTTGAAATTAACAGCTGTGTGTGTCTGTTTATTACTGTATGTGTGTGCGGTTGGTAATGATGAGCTTGATGGGTTTTGTGATTGTGTGGGTGAGGCTGGCCATCCTTTGCTTGGCTGATGTTTGATTTGTATTGATATTCTTCCTCTCCTCCTCACCACGGAAAAGAGGGATGAGAGATGAGGGATTGTGTGTTTGGGGGATGAACACTGAGAATATTTAGGGGGCGTAATTCATACTCATACTTCCTCTTCTACTCAGGCAATGCGTTGGATTGGACGAGTGAGTGATGCTTCTATTACCTGTATGTGCCATTGTGAGGGATATTGATTTTTTACTTCTCTCCTTTTTTATCGGTTCAGTAGTTCATCCTCCCATACAGAAGAATGCTAAATGATTTTAAAAGACACCTGTTCTGATTTAGCAGGCCTCATTGCGCTCCAATGACTGTGACTGGTTAAATATTGAATGGGATGACCCAAACGAGGACAGGGCATGGATGGATGGTAATCTTTTCCATTCATACTGTACGTTTACACCCTTTACCCAGTTATCATCTTGCTGTACAGTACATGGTAGTGATGCTTTGACATGCCAGTGTCTTTTACATTATGAGTGTCCTTGCCACACGCCTACATTTGAAATGACGAAATTTTGGTCAGCAGGAATAATGGTTTAAAAATGTGTACCGAAATGTGTACCAAAAACGGTTTAAAAATGTGTAATTTAAGCTAATTTAAAGTGGTCATGAACTGCATTTTAAATTGTTTTATAATGTTTCCTTGGGTGCACATACAGTTAGTATGATTTTTTACAATTTATGCCATTTAAAAAAATTAGTGGAAGAAAGTAATATTTGTGCATGTTTTTATTTATTTGTTTATGAGAGTGCTTAATTTATTTCTCTGACTGA